TCCTACACTTTCACGGATCTCGATTAGTTTCGTGGATCGAGATACATGTTGTTATGCTAGCCGTTGCATAGAGAGCGGATGTAGTGTATGTACCATCCGACACCTGATTTAGGATGTCAAAATACATGTCGGCTGCTGGCTAGCGCCTTAGAATGGTCTAACTGACTTCACAAATTCCTACGCTTAATAGAGCAAGTTCTGGTGGAAGTTTTCGTTTGATCAGTAAGTTCAAGCCTCTGCAACAACTGGATCTATTTTCTCGCCACCAAGAATCGACAGTCTCCTCAGCTCTGTCCCCGAAATATCGGTTTAGTGCTGCAAAAATGAATATTTGTCTTAAATATAACCTTGAAATAAACGTTCCATTTGAAAAAACTGGAAAATTTTCCAGAGCTAATTTTGCCAATTAATCGGCATTGATGTTCCCGAGAATGCTAGAATAAACTGAGATTCAACACAACCCTAGTCATCTATTCAATCGTAGTAGAGTTGTGAATTGGTCGACTAGGGCTTGAAATGACTTTCTACGATTTGTTCTCAGGGAATGAATAGCTTCAGTATTATGAGAGAGCATCTTAATAAGAAAATTTCCTGCCTCTATGGAAGATATTCCCAGGACTTTCTAAGGCCCCAAAAGTTCCGCGTCGTATATTTATGCTCTTATAATGGGCCCAGCAGCGTTTCAAATCAGTCTGCTTCCTTTATATCAGGCCTGTCCCTATCTAGAGCCCGCTGGTTCTCTTGATGAGCCATCTTGCTAGGCTCATACGGTCTCCTGCGATATATGGTCTATCCATGTTCTTGAATCATTTGACTTATTAATTCTGTTAAGACTAGATAGTGACTGGTAGGATGGATTTTCGAGAGCTTCTACTACAGGATAGATCCATGATTGTGATATTGACTGTGCTAGTAGTGACTCGGGCAACATATGCCAATCGAGGCTGGTAATCAATGCCGTGTTCATCAAGACCATGATATAGGAAGAAGTGTAATTAGTGTAGAGAGGAGTAATAATTCGGGCTTCTTCTATATATTAGAATAATTAACTGATTTTACCATCGGAATTGCTCTAGCATCTAACATCATCAATTGATCCCGCGACACCTTCAGCCATAGGTACATTAAGGACACTTTTCTGAAGTCATGTTATATAGCGCTCTAGAACAATGATAGGTCGGGATTTCTGGCTTGCTCGAAGTTCGAGGCGCCTTGTAATACCTTTTGATACCTCTCTAGATCCTAGAGTTAGCAGGTGCCATACATAAAATCATTAGACGCGTGCTGCTCTCCAAAGTTGCCTCTGAACCAAGAGGATCTCTGCCGGTAGAATGCCTGACTCATTTCCAAGAGCCAAATATGGCGTTGTATACCAAGCAGAAAATTCTGCTCTCACTTCCCTTAAGATTGTTTTTTCCAGCTGATTAGTGTGCCAGCCAACGTCGGTGCCAACTTGTATCGCCGAGTGGTTATACGGGCTAGGCATGGCCATCTTGTCCCCGCTCCAAACAGTGCGGTACTATGGACGCAGACGTGGACAGCTTTAATCATCGGCCCCGATGCTATGCCGCACTGAACAACATTAATTCGAGGTATGGTAGGATGAAGGCTGAATACCTGACAGCGGTGTCATCTACAAGCCTGGGAGTGAAAAATTCTCCCAGAGCCGAGATTCAGTCATGAAAAAGAGTGGGATGAATTTAATTTGATGGATTTTCGGCTTGGAGGAGTTGTACTCGGTATTTTAGTCCAAAAATTAGTCGACAGAGATTTCACAACCGCAAGAAAGTCGAACAAAAACTCATCACTACCAACATACGATTCACGAATAGGCTTAGGTCTGTCTGCAGGTCGTATTCAAACATCCGACATCTTAAAAACTCCATTTATATTTGCGACGAAGCATGTCTCAGTCGATCGTACACCTGCGACCCACCTCCACGCTCATTACATCACCTACCTACACAAGCCCTAATGAGGAGTGTCATGATGGAGACGGGACGTGTACAAAGGAGGAAGAAAGGGGATTATAGACTGAGGGGATCACACAGATCCCCAATGACGACAACAACCCAAAGGTACGATATGAAGGTGCAAGGCTTGAGCAACGATGAGATCTGGGACGGCATTTATATTTCGGAGTCAACGAGGATGTCAAGGGCTCAGGCGGGTGGTGGCCGAGGCTGAGGAGAAATTTGCTCCATGGCGTATATGCAGTGGGTATCTGGACGGTCAGACTTGGAATGATTCAACACCTAGATGAAGTCCGAGGTGGGACGAGAGATATCTGTACTTCACGGTAGTTTTCGTGATCCAGCTGGGCCTCGCTTGTGCTTAAGCTCCAGCAGGAGTGTGGATCCAAGGTATATGCCTTTCATATATCCAGGCACCTACTGCACAGGCCACACCGAGCTGTAATTTAAAACTATATGGTATCTATTAGTTATTCTTTTCATAATGTATATGTTCGGGGTACTAGAACACGAGTCTTCGGTTCTTCCGATAGATATCTATCTGAAACAAAGGAGGGTCCAACACGTCAGTCTATCTGAATGACTACCTGTCAGGAGAACGATACTATCTGTATACGGTAAAACCAAGCAGCCCACAAGGAGAACTGAGAACAGACCCCCCAAGAATCGAAAGCTAAACAATGAAGAATGTTCCTGAACTTTTCGCATAGAGAATGCATGAGGGAGACAATAAAATGCCGGTAAGGTGGCCGCGTTCCATGAGTGAAAAAACTCAAGGACACGTCTAGGGAACGAGAAACTATCTGGCCATTGGGCTTCGGTGGACCCTAAACATTGGAAAGCCGCAAATATTGTTATAGACGAAACAACAGGTAGAAAATGATTACCCATAGAAACAAACCCTCAAATTTCCACCGGAATCTTTGTAGGGCCCAAAGCAGCATTGCAGTTCAGATAAGAAGTGAGGACATTGGCCTCAATCCTTATCTGTATCGAAGGAAAGTCCGCGGAGTGATTAATCCAAAATGCCAGTGTGGATATCCGTCTTAAAATGTCAAATATATGGTCCTGGCGTGTCCTCAGTGGGCAATCGGAAGAGGAGAAGTACTTCGAAAAGCAAAAGAAATATCCCATGCGGCAATGATGAACAGCCCAGATAATTTGGAAAGAATCATAAAATGGATCCTGGTAAAAGGCTGGTTTGAAAAATCCGGCTTGCAGAAGAAGTGGAAATGGCATTGGACGAAAAGATGAGACGACGTGGACAAGGATAAGACGGAATTCACACTGTACAAACAGTGTAAACGCACTTCCCGTTGGAAACCTCAGAAGAGCAACATACACGAGATAGACGGTTTTGGTGGGTTTTTACCGAATCGGTTTTCTCCTGTGTAAATATTATAGCTGGATATACCTACACGGGCTAAATGAAATCAAATCACATAGAATACAATGATTAAAATATTTCAGACTGTCGAATGGCCTAAATTTACGTATACGCAAGGTTAGTTCATTACAAAATAAAAGGTACAAAAGTGAGGTGTGTAATGTGTCTTGTTTTCTATCTTCTCTATTTACGGATATTGTGAACGTGGAGTTTGTTGTATTAGCTGAGTCATTGTCTTGATGACTCAGCAACGGAGAGAAGCAGTGCACTCCGTGCAGACCAGGTAGGGATATATATATATATATATATATATTTCATTATTTCATTATTTTGATTTGGCGGCTTGAGGCCCATGCAGGTTTTTATCGGAAGATATGTACTTTAAATAGGATGACTCAATTTGACATTTAGAACACTCACACTCAGATTTCATTCGCAGATACCACTCGAGGTTAACCCTTACGGCGTATGACCTCATCCGTGCATACCCCCCACAGGGAAAAGCGTGAAAAACCTGTGGCTATCAGAGTGTGCTTTCATCATCCCACAAGTACAATATCACCGCGAGAGAGTGTGGTGTGTGGGTCTGACTGGATTCGAACCAGCTTTCTCCTGTCTCGAATGGGGTGGGTGTTCAGGCTACCCCGTATCTTCTTGGGAGAACGGCACGGATGGTGTACCACTGCACCATCCAGCCCTTCAGGTAGGAACACTTTCCAACACCAACACACATAATCTTCACGTCCCCTCAGATTATATAGCTATAGCCACCCAAACATTCTATTAGCCCACAAAGATCAAATATTCCCCATTCAATTAAAGCCCCTGGTTTATATGCAAGATATTCACGCACCAATCTCCAATGAATTCAAACGAGAGACTGCGTCATTAAGAGATTTGGTCCACAGAATGTTTTTCTACTGGATCGTTTTTTAAACCTTGTGAGGCCTTTTTTTAGAATCAATTGGTAACGATGGGCTGTTATGCTTAGGAGTCTTGGATTTTTGTGTCGGTGGCAGCTTTTTTGTACGATGCGGAATTTGACTGAACTCAACTTTGTGTAAAATTTCGCTACCAGGCTTGCAGAGAACACCATTGACAAGTTTTTATTTTTCTTTCTTATTAGGTTAATCCAATAGTTGGTAAAATTAAACAAATTCTGTATCTGAATCTGAATCTTGGCAGATGAGAAAATAATGTTTTCTCAACAGTATTATGACTTAGGCCTGAAGATGAGTGATCTTAAGGAATCAGGAGAGATATAACTATTCAGATATGACCAAGGCCCATACTGAGCTTATCCTGAGAAATAGAAGATATGGAGCCTAAGTGACTTCTCATTCATAATATTGATTGTCCGTATTATCCAATCGTCACTTCTTTTTCAAGCATTTCTTAAATTAAGAAAGAATTCATCCATTCGTGTGTCCATGACAGCCTAGAGTTCCCTAAAATAATCCATTCTCCCAGAGGAAACATGAATTTACCTAGTAAAACTCGCGCCCTACTAATGAGTCTAATAGCAATTACTTGTCTATCGTAAAAGTGGCAAGGTGAGATTCGCCGAAGAGAGTGCTTGTTACCTAGCAACCGGAGCCTGTGAGAGCCCACATATTTTTGGGTAGCCTGAACTCTTCGCACTAATGAGGAAATAAGTTTAAACAAGTTAAGGTTGGTCTTTGTTTAGCGGGGTGCAAGGATGACGTGTCTTTTGGACACTCCCGGTACCTGTTATTCAAACGGACATGCACACCCAAAAAATTACAGTCAAGATCAAATTTGATGTAGTAATTCCAGTCTTTTGTACCTTTGCATTACAGTCAGTTTATCTTGCGGCAAATATTCGGGTAGATTTACCTCTTGAAGTGGTAGGAAACTCTTCTTTTCGAATTGGCCACATTCGATTGTAACCTTCTTGAAGTCTGTGGTCTAGATATAGTGAGGAATCCGCAGACTCTTTAGTAAAAACTTTTCTAGTATCTTCGGATATTGATGTACACGCTGCTTGCATGTGACTATTTACCGTGATAGCCGAGAAATACACATCGTCGCATTTGTATGCACTTACGTTTTCAAATATCCTCTCTCCAATCGAGTTTTTCGTGGGATCCAATGATCTTGAAGGTTCTGAATCATCATATTCAATTTGTTCACATCTCTTCCAATGTGAACCTAGGCGATACATCATTCCCAGAAAGATTAAATTTTTGTCTACCGCAATTCGGTATGGGGTTTGAAGTTTATCTAGTGACTTGTCAGGTCGCAGCCAAGAGAAAAGGTCATTATAAACGTGCATGTGCCTTCTTTACACATTCCATTAATCAGAATTGGCCATATAGTTACTGTTCTTTCCCCAAACTCAGTTGAATATATTGTGAGAATATGTTTCCTAACTTCCCATTTTTCGAGTGTTGAGATTTTTTGTTTCAGCTTCCGATAAAACTGTAGAGTCTCTTCGAGAATAAATATAGTGAAATTACAATCGTACCCATACGTTTTTGGTACAGGACTCGAAATAGTCTGAGAGGCGATCCATGATTCATCAGTGGAATCCAAGATCTTAACGCAGCGTTTGTAAGATTGGTTGGTTACATAGACAAGTCCAATAAGATTGCACATGGAGTCTATAACGACCCGATTTTTACCAATGCACCCTAAAGAGTCGTTAGGAATCTATTCAACAGTCGATGTTCTCAAGGCTATGAGACTATTGCTGATATAAACTACCTTTCACATGTTTTTTCACATTACCTATCCGTGTCGGCGTGGCAAAAAGGGTTGCGTCCGATATGCCAAAATGGGAAGAACCGTCGAACGTAACCGGATATATGTTTGTAATATCTGCGTATTTTAATGAGATGCAAGAGCTCTTCACATATTTTGATATTAAATGAGATACTAGGTAATCTTTCCCGCATACATAGTTTCCCGGTTCATCTGTAGCCGCAATCGTGTAAAAACAAAAGCTGATTGTGACACCAAGCGCAGTCGACTGAAACTTCATCTCTATCTTTCCTCGTCGTTCGAGAAAATTTAGTTACAATTTCAAGGCCAGACTAGAACAAAGCCAGGCAAGAAATGTAGATAGATAGATATCCAAAGACTGGATTCCGAGTGCGTTAATGGCTTACTAGGTGCCCATGAGTAGTCGAGTCATGAGACAGGCTTGGTGAGACGATAAGATGAACAATCCTGCGGCCTGGAATTCTGTAATCGGTCTTGGAGTCTACAGACTTAATTTCCATGTCAGTCAATCAAAAATTACTGCGGATTGTAATGATTTTTAGTCAAAATAGTTGCGGGCTGAGTTGGATCTTGATATTCTAGTTTTACCCCGAAATTTCGCATGAGGAGACTGAAACGGCTTTATTTCTAAGCTTCTTTGCCATCGTAACTAGTAAGCAAAGTGATGTGTAAACAAATTTTACGTCTACTTAATATCAAGAGAAATTATCGATTAATAGGTCTTATTTTGATATGTACACATCCAAAATGGCGTGTGTCTAAAACAGAAGAGATGGTAGTTGCGAGAAGATATGATGGAGGAAAGTGACTGACCACCTCTCAGCTGTGTCTTCTGTGAACTTAGGAGTGGGATAATTTTTCAGAGCAAAATTCAGTCCAGATTTCGCGATACCAATGTTGGCCCGCGAGTCAGTGATGCAAAATACTGCACCAAATCAATCTCTTTCTCCAAAGCCTCATCAAGTTTACAGATTTGACCTGGTTCATCCTCACTTCAATGACCTTAACTCTCAACGACCCTTTTCTGGCCTCAGCTGGTCACCAAATATACGCCCACACCGATATTCATAACCGACAGAGGAAACAAATCGTGGCGCCAAATCTAGGGTGCAATTCTTTGGGATGGAATTGAGAGGGATCAGGACAAGTTCACAAGATGATGCCAAGGATGGTTACAGTCTCAAAAGGTTTGAGGTTTGGTCAGGGGCTTTTCAAGCTGAAGAGCTTTGTGCGCCATCCGACTTCGATTGCGATAGTGCAGCTGACACCATTAAAACTAGCCAATAATGAAAATTGCGGTGGTACGCCTCCAGGTGGTGTTCTATGGTATAGTTTTAGTAGGCTGGACACCTACTGTACCTGGTAAGGAGACGCCTCAGACCATATTTCGCGCGGAGAGCAGTAAATGGATGACGGAGATCTGTTTGGATAAGTCTAGGTCGGGAATTTTCCCGATGGGGCAACACGGATGAGGGTTGGAAACCCGTCAGTAGTGTCCTCTGCGAAACTGGGACTTAATTATTCCTCCCAGAGCCGAGATTCAATTACGAAAAAGGGTTTATTCGAGAGCTTTTGTTGAGACAGCGATGAGGAGGATTGATATTGGTAAGTTTTTGGCCGAAAATCCAACCAGCTGATATTCCACGACTGCACAGCCCAACGAGTTCAGTCATCTAAACCCCAAATCTGAGCCTTAAGTAGGATAATACTGGTGTAATATTCGGATCACAACGACTAACAATCCTCAAATTTTCCTGGAAGATCTTCTCAATCTTAACTTATCTCACCGCCCACCGATGCTCTCCGAGATCCAAATGTCATAATCGTATTCAAAGCTACAATTAGACGTTCATCTCACCGCAACTCTCATACGCTGTCAAGGTACGGTTGAAGTGCTGGCCTTATTTTCGTCCAACCTCGTCCAAGGGCACCAAATACCTCACCAGTGACGAATCGCCACTGTCGATGTACGGACGATATTTCGCTGGCATGTAGACCAGAGCATTCGAAAAATAGGGAGGTATCAGTGCCTTAGGCTTGAGCTCTTCGACCAACATCCGACCTTCCTGGTTAGAGGTACTGCAGAGAAAGAGCAAAGCCGGAGGGATGGAAAGTGTACAAAGTTTCTGAGGTTGCGTCAATTAGTGAAAGGCTAAGGAAAAGCTGTGGCAACTTTGGAAGTAAAATAAATGCATTACAATAAATAATTGATAATAGAATAATATGCACATACGCCATAAGATATGATTGACTTAGACCATCATTCATTGGCATTGAAATGTATTTTCCAATAGATTCCCAGGGGTATCTTTTGGCGCAAGGATCTATTACATCCTTCTTTACTCGGATAGACAAGGAGATATGTTGGAACATCTACTAGTCTGCAGAAATCTCCTTATTCATGTATATAGAGAAATTTCCCGACACTTAGATAATATAAGCAAGTCACACAATACGACTTTTAAACAATCTTCACATTGCTCACACACCAGAGAAAACTCGAAAATGTCGTCAAGTTTTTTCATCGATCAAAGTCTTAAGAGTGTTAAGCAATAACTAAGCTTCTCTTAAAGCCAAAGCTACCTCCCTCCATAACTTCATCCTGACGGTATATCATTCCAGCTTAGCATAGCTGTTGGTAAAAACAGGAGTCATCACTTCTTTACTATAATAGTGGACATGATCGTTGGTGTAAATTGTGTATGTGTATTTCTCTCTCCTTCCATCTAAATTTACACACTACTTGCCTCGGAGATATGCTGACTAATCATACAACAAAAACTAAGTGGTAATCATCCCAAATGCAAACGCCAGTAACCCAGTCCAGTAAATACAATTACAAAGCTAACATTCTGACAATGGTCTTTCAGTAGAATATATAGTGGAGGAACAAAGAGAAAACCGAGGAGGCCTGGGTGGGTGAATGGATGAGGTCTTTGATGAAGAAAACGATGCCTGGATGAGATGAAGAGATGCTGGGATGAGGAATGACTGGGACTGAACGGAAAGTACAAACTAAAAATTATCAATATCTCAATGGCTCAGGCGCGTGGTGGATGAGTCTAAGGAGGAAATTGAGCTTCGGCGTGTAAATTTCGTATTTTCTGGATGGTTGGATTTGACATTTCAAGACATGTGTGAATGCTGAGGTGGTCCTGTCATTCGGTGGGGACGAGGTTCATTGTACCTGTATGGTTGTTACCATGATCCCGTCCGGCTCTATTCGTCCTCAAACCCACATAGGAGTACAGAGGGTAACAATTGTTGTCAGAATATTTCCTATGGATTCCTTGCTTATGGTAACTGGACAACAATAATTTTATCCACTCGTATCTATCCTTATTTGTGAGGTAGCGCCAAGGTCTTATTGACATGGAAGGCTCGTCACATTATATATGCTTATATGTCGATTACTTATAATTTCTCACTTCGGCAGGCAGCAACTGCAGATCCCGAAACTTGGAGAGCGGCCAAATTTAAACAAAGTAGAGAATCTGGACGGCAAAAACTGAGTTTTCAAGGCTCACCATTCTTTCTACATCGTGATCTGACAAGCGCCCAAAACAGTTTGGCGATACAAAGAAGAAGTGAGCACATGGGGCTAAATTCGTATCATTAAAGAAGAAAAGTACCCGCATTCTACAGCTCAAGCTGTCCATATGGCTACCAATCACAGAAACACAAGCATAGGACTATGTCCTACGCCCGATGGTCAAATGGCAGAGCTGAGATCTGGAGATAAGCCAAAGATCGGTCTTACGAAGCGATGATAAACAATCCTGATGTTGGTAAAACTACCAGGTTCTTGGATTCGAATCCGAAGGGAAAGGTAATCAGTAGAATGTATTGTATTGTATCTATCTATCCGAAGTTTTCTGTGTGGCAGCTATTGCTAAGAAATATATTGAATGTGCACGGGCCTCCACAAACCCTTACTCGCTCTTGCCTAGTTTACAATTATCATATCATACACCCCATTACAGTCACATGCCTATAGCTAATTCCCAACAAATTACCATGGTGTTAATGGTTGGGACACCTGAAGACATTGAAAGGATAACACAGTGGATCCTAAACCATGGTTGGATAGAGCAATTCCAGATGACAAAGGCGGTCGAGATGCTGCTGAGGGAGTGGAAAATGTCAAATAACGCTTGGGGCGGATAGAGATGATCTAGTTGGTTTACATGAATGGCAATATAGTGTAACAGCGCATCCTTAGGAAAATATGTGAAAACTAAAGACAACAAGTAGAAAGATCCAGGGGGTTTTCACCCTAAAGGTTTCCTCCCGTGTAAACATTATAGATTGTAGACACCTGCATGGGCCCATAGGGCGCCAAATCAGGATGATGATGATGAAAGTTTATTCGTGACGGGCACAAACCTCGCACTCAAAGAGCATGACACGGAGAGGGCAAGCCCTTCCCCGAATATAAATACGACGATAACTCAGTCCGTATTTAGATCGCCCATATAGCGGGTGCATTCGCTGATACCACTCAAGATCTTTGTGCTAGGGACACCCACCCTACCCTCAACCATTGATATTCACCAAAGGGAAAACAGGAAAAACAGGAAAAACCTTGAACTACACTGGCATGCATTTGTTATTTTGAATATTGCCGCCGCGCGAGATATGGCCTCACAGTCCTCCCTTTCTCGAGTGAGGTAGGTATCAATGCTACATAGACTTTGGTTCAGAGAGATGAAGACCATGAGGCGGAGCATAACATCTTTCATCGTTGCCTGTTTTTAGAGTGTCCAGACACCCACCTCACTGTCACGTTCGCTTCTGAAGCGAACTTGTGAAAGACGCGGGGTATCTGCGGCGACGATGATGACTTCCCCGTCCGAAGCGCAAGTGCAGCTGCCTGATTCTCAAGAAGAGCGAAGATTCTCTCACGGTTCTTTCGAGCGCGCATAGCTTCCCGAAGTGCTACTGCTGCTCCTACAATTTCTGCATCATAAACTTCACCGCCATGTAGACGACCATGACCTTGTGCGAATGTTTGTCCTCCGCGTTGCAGGAAATATCCCCACGAGGATCGTCCATGGCCTTCAGATGACCCATCCGAGTAGGCGCATATGTCAGAGGGAGAGATCGTGCTAGCCCAGTTGTAGTGTGCTTTGACTCCCTCTTCTTTCGTTCCAAGACTTAATGTGTACACTGGGCCATCCAGCCCTTCTGCCTCTTCGAATGACTCCGGGAGCTGTCGAAAAGCACGCTGTAGGCGCGACATCTAGGTTTCTGGTTGGC